CCAGGAGCAGCTTCTGCAAACACACACACACACACACACACACACACACACACACACATTTCCATGGAATATTCTGAAAGTGCTCTGAGGAAGGGAGGATACTGAAAAGTATTTAAAGTGTGCTCTGTAACTTCACTGCTGCCTTTGTGAGTGTGTCAAAGGCTTTGCTCTGTGTGTGTGACTACCATTCACAACCTGTCAGTTGTTACAGAGAAAGACGAATAAAGGAGGGAAAGCAAAGGGAAAAGACCAGAACAGATGAAGAGGGTTGGAGAACTTGAATAAAGGCTGTTTGTTGTGTTATAGCCTACCCTCACCGGCCACTTTATTAGGTACACCTAACTAGTATCGGGTTGGACCCGTTTTGCCTTCAGGACTGGCTTAATCTCTCGTGACCTCAGACATTTTGGTCCATATTGACATGATAGCTTCACACAGTTGCCGCCGGCTACATATTCATGATGCGAATCTCCCGTTCCACCACATCCCAAAGGTGCTCTATTGAATTGAGTTCTGGTGACTGTGGAGGCCATTTGAGTACAGTGAAGTCATTGTCATGTTCAAGAAACCAGTCTGAGATGATTCGCACTTTATGACATGGCACCTTATCCTACTGGAAGTAGCCATCAGAAAATTGGTACACTGTGGTCATAAAGCGATGGACATGGTCAGCAACAATGCTCAGGTAGGCTGTGGCGTTGACATGATGCTCAGTTGGTACTAATGAACCCAAAGTGTTCCAAGAAAATATCCCCCACACCATTAAACCACCACCATCAGCCTGAACTGTTGATACAAGGCAGGATGAATCCATGATTTCATGTTGTTGATGGCAAATTCTGACCCAACCATTCGAATGTCGCAGCACAGTTCAATAGTATCTGGATGCAGCCTTTATGATGCAAGCTGAGACTGCATCACTCAGCGATGCAATGTCAGACACAATGCACTCAAATGGAGCTAGTGACGTCACTGTGACGGGTAGGGTTAGGGGTGGGGTTAGGTGAGCCCATTAAAAAGCATTGGATGCAGCCCAGATTGCACTGCACCAGGTCTGCAGCCAGACCCATCTCGCACAATTTGAGATTTATCAGACCAGGCAACGTTTTTCCAATCTTCTATTGTCCAATTTTGGGGAGCCTGCTGTAGGCTGCTGCTGTTTTTTGTAACCTCCTGTTCTTAGCCAACAGGAGTGGCACGCAGTGTGGTCTTCTGCTGCTGTAGCCCGTTCACCTCAATTTTTGACGTGTTGTGCATTCAGAGAAGATTCTCTTCTACATACCTCAGTTGTAACGAGTGGTTATTTGAGTTACAGTTGCCTTTCTATTAGCAGAAACCAGTCTGGCCATTCTCCTCTGACCTCTGGCATCAACAAGGCATTTGCGCCCACAGATCTGCTGCTCACTGGATATTTTCTTTTTTTTTACCATTCTCTGTAAACCCTAGAGACGGTTTTGCGTGAAAACCTCAATAGATCAGCAGCTTCTGAAATACTCAGACGATCCCGTCTGGCACCAACAACCATGCCACGTTCAAAGTCACTTAAATCACCTTTCTTCCCTATTCTGATGCTCTGTTTGAACTGCAGCAGATCGTCTTGACCATGTCTGCATGCCTAAATGGACTGAGTTACTGCCATCTGATTGGCTGATTAGAAATTTGATTTAACGAGCAGTTAGACAGGTTTACCTAATAAAGTGTATATACTTTCTTTCTATTTGTGGTAAGTCGATATAAACAATGGACAGAAATAGTTTCTTCACATGTAAAACCTATACTTGGCATTTTTGGCTGGGTTCAACGAACAACTGACATGACATTACACAAGGGATGACCAGACTGTGTTCATAACAGCCCTTTTTATGTTTTCCAGAGCTTTTCACCACTCCACATAAAAACTGAAGGCAGCTGCTGGAGATCCCACAACAGCCTTTCTATTTTTAGAACTACATAATTTCATTACAGAAGGAAACAGGGGTTGGAATTTGCTCGAACTGCTGAATACAGACTACTCTTGTGTTGTCTGCCCTGTGACAATTATGCATGGATAGATCTAAACTAAACTCAGTCATTGCCTAATACTATTGTGTGACCTCTAAGCATAAAATACCTGATACGTCATATTGGTTTCGTCAGATTGTCCTCTAGTGCCACCTCCTGTCCATTCATGGACACTGCAACAATAAGAGAGGGAATAGCTCGGGTGAGCGGTTATGATTATAATTTCTATTGCCATTCTCAAAGTTGAGAAAACAATTCATAATGTCAATATCAGTTTTTAAGTGAAACAATTCATTAAATTTATATAGGCCTAATAGTTAACCCCCTAATTAAGATATTTGGTGGTCCAAGTACCAAAAGGAGAGAGAAACCTATTGTATTTGTGCTGATTTCCTTCTTTTTACAATTATTATTCTTTTTATGTACCTTAAAGGTGTCAAAAAAGTCAAAATAATTTCTTTAATTTTTTTAAAAGCAAAAGTCCATGGTTTAAGATACATTTATTTTATTTTTTTATTTTCAAATTTACCAATATTTTAAGAAAACTGAGAAACATTGTAACTTACCGTGGTCTCTAGATTTGAACCGATTTGAACATAAAATATTTGTCTTCACGCTCCCTCCTCCTCTCCCTCTCCTGAACGCCCGTGACCCGTGACCTTCCTCTAAGGTTCTTCCTTCTGCGCACGCGCATAACGCCCACTGTGAGCCCAGTAGAGCCAAGATGGCGGCGGTGGTGGAGAATGTTGTCCAGCTGTGAGTATTTTTCGTCCTTATTTGGATACATAAGAGATTCCAATGTTCAGATTTAATATCTAACTTTGATGTACTAATACAAAGTGACAGGCTTTTATGTTACTCGCTTAAAGACATCTAAAGACACGTGTTTGACAAGGTTATTTGAGATCTGAGTAAGTTAGCTGTACTAGCAGCTGCTGTGTCCCGCTTGTATGAATGTCTCGCATAGCTTCCGTCTTTCTGTATGACTAGGGAACAAAGCATGTAGGAAGCGTTTCTGTCCCCTTTATCGGTTGGTGTGTAAACGTATCGCAGAAGCCATGTTGAGGTGCTTAAAGTGTTGTTTTAGTTGTTTATTAACTTAGTGATGTTGGTTATTCTGGTCGTCAGTCGTGGCAGCACCAGCTGTCAGTTTTATTGAGTTGTAGTTCAGATGTGTGGATCTGGCCCATGACACTTATTTTAGAGCAGGTTGCGTTTACCCGACGAAGTTCTTACTGTAGTAGTTTGTTCTGCTAAAAATACATTTGAAGTACACATATGGTTAACCTTAATTAACTTGCCTAGTTTGTTTTATCAGGTTTTCCACATCACTGTTTTGAAACCAGGAAGTGCTGTCGTGAAGTTTAATTGTGTAAAATGTATGTATGACTCTATTTAAACAAAGAATTTCTAAAACAATGAGCGTTAAAGTAAGGCTAGTGAAATGGTGATTTATTAACTTTAAACTGTTTTTGACCAGAGTTTGAGAAGCATGGCAGCTCTCTACTTCCTTATTCAACTTCAGCCTTTTTCTAAAAGTTGAGTAAGTTACAAGTCAGCATAATTTCATTGATAATGTATACAACAAGTGAAATGAAGATTTGCACATTAAACATAGTCACTTTTACCCATAGTGTCAAAGCTTACTGTTACCATAACTGGCTGTGAACAATATTGTACTTTGAAAGTCTTTTGCTGACTAGCATCCCTATTTGTTACAAGATCCCTATTTACAACTTGCAAAGGATAGTTTTCTGATAATATAATATTAAAAATAAAGCCTGAATGTTTGGATATAAAACCAACTTTACCTCAGTTAGTTTAGCAGTTTCAGTCACTGAATTGGCAACCCTATTTCCTCTTTATTAACATCTGCCATGATAATCTTATCACATGTGCTCAAGCAAAAGGAGTTGCTGTTGGTACTCTATTTAATAAACGCCTCGATACGGTGAGATGTAGTTATACCCAGCAAACAATTTTGTTTAATAAACGTCAAATAGACATCTAAACATAGACAGCTTGGCTAGAACAAGGTTAAACTTGGGCTGTCAGTGAAAATCTAATAGACATCTAAGAATAGCCCAAAACTAGATCAAATCCGTCAAATAGACAGATTAGACAGACTTTGTGTAGCCATTCAATTCTGTTTATTTAATGACTAGTCTAGCTTTGACATATTCTTAGATGTCTATTAGATTTTCACTGACAGCCCAAATTTAGTCTTGTTTTTGCCAAAATGACTGTTTAGATGTCTATTAGACAACTTTTAAACATCTTTTAAAAACAATAAAAGCTTGCTGGGGAATGTGATTTATCTTTCTCTCAAACCAGTGAACAGCAACCAAAATCACTCTAAAACATTGGATTAAATTAATGTTCAATACAAAAATGTTACAAAAATCAAGTTGTAGATTTGCAATAAGACTAAGTTTTCATTTTAGCATTGTATGTGTTAGCATGTCTAGCATTATATATTTAGACCTGCTTGGTGTTGAGGTCTTTGGTTGAAAAGTAAATTGGAAAAGCTAAAATGTACTTCACTCATCACTGTTTACATTTCTGCATTTATAGCGACTTTTACATGGTCTCTAATCCAATATGGAGCATGTAAAAAGGGAGTAACTTGCTTCTCTGGAATGAATCAGTGTTCATTGATATTTACATTGGGTCACTAAAGTACTGGACGGTAACATTTCATTTAGTTCTGTTTATTCAAGGTAGATCTTAATAGCAGGTGTTAACATGGTTTTAGTTGCTGGTTGGTGGAATGCGAATCCCCATTGAGCGAGTGTCTTTGAAGCTGCAGCTCTGGGTTTTGGCGTCTTGGAGGCGGTCGATCATCTCAAGGCTGTTTTGTTGTCTGGGCTGTAAACCCCTTGCAGCTCTTGCTTCTAACACAGCAAAGCTTTAAGCTTTTGTTTCATCCTCTGTGACATCAACGCCCGTCTGTGCTCTAATCTCCCGGGCTTTAGCTCGCCTGTGCTCTCGCCGGGGCTCTTAGTGGTTGCCGGGGCGACAGGCGGCAGCAGCACCTGCTAAGTGGCTGGAGTGAGAGAGTTACAATGACTGGGCTTTATGCCCGCAAGACCTCCTGCTGCACACACACATACACACAAACACATACACACACACAGAGGGTAAGCTGAACAGGGCTGAGCTGGTTTCAGGGCACCACTGTGGGTAGGGTGTGTGTTGACAAACTATCACAGAAGATGTCTGCGCTAGAGTCTGTGTGAGTTTCAGAAAGCACCTCTTGTTGGGTTTTGAATTGATTCAGGGTGCTTTGCTTATTGTGAGCCTCTGTTTTTCTGTCTGTAGGCTGGGTGAGCAGTATTACAGGGACGCTCTGGAGCAGTGTCACAACTATAATGCCCGTCTGTGTGCAGAGAGGAGCGTGAGGATGCCCTTCCTCGACTCTCAGACCGGTGTCGCCCAGAGCAACTGCTACTTCTGGATGGAGAAACGACACAGAGGACCAGGTGGGGCAAACTCTTTGACAGCGTTTCATTTATTGTGCAGTCAAGATATGATATGATATAAATAAATAAATAAATATAAATAAAGTGTCATGGTGGCACAGTGGGATACACGATCGCCTCACAGCAAGAAGGTTGCTGGTTCGAGCCCCAGCTGGGTCAGTTGGTGTTTCTGTGTGGATTTTAAATGTTCTCCCCGCATTCGTGTGGGTTTCTTCCAGGTGCTTCGGTTTCCCCCTCAGTCCAAAGACATGCGTTATAGGTCAATTGGGTAAGCTAAATTGTTCTTAGTGTATGTATGTAAATGAGAGTGAATGGGTGTTTCAAAGTGATGGGTTGCAGCTGGAAGAGCATCCGTTGTGTAAAACATATGCTGAATAAGTTGGCAGTTCTTTCCACGGTGGCAACCCCAGATTAATAAAGGGTCTAAGCCGAAAAGAAAATGAATGAATGAATGAATGAATATAAATAAATATGCTTGCTTACAAACTAAAAAATAAACATACACAAGTACAGTAAGTGGTAAGAACACAGCATTTGATCATAGTATTGTATTCGTTTGCATAACAATTATATTTTGCCATTGTTTTTATTAATGTAACGCTTAGATTACTGTAAAGCAAACAACCTTCCAGTATTAAACATAAAAACAGAATTAGTTTATGTTAGAATTACATTTCAATTTCTATTATAAACCCCTTCTTCAGTATGACTTTAACAGAATGAACAAACTGAGGAAATGAAGTTTTTAACATTACAAAAAGTGGAACCCAAGAGCTACACTGACTTTTTTGCAGTCACACAAGACTTTTCTAGTCAAGACTAAAGCTGTTACAAACTTATCAAAATGTGTCTTGATTTGATGTTTTTTAAGTAGTTTACTTTATTTTTTAAAAACTAAACTATTTGATACAAAAACAATGAAATCTCTTGCTTGTTGACATAAATATTGAAATCATTGGAGGAAGAACTCTTAGTTCAGTCAATAGATTAGTAATAAAGTAAGAACTCGGAAACAATTATACAAATATATTTAAGACATCAAAATAATAATATTTAAAGTGTGCTTCAGTAATATCTGATTTGCAGTAGATTGCAGTAGCATTTTGACATGATTTTTGTGGCATTTCTTTTATTGTTTATTGAAGTATGATAAAGACTCCTGTATACATCAAGCGAAATCAAAGAACGAGCTGAAGTGACAATTTCGAACAAAATAATGAAATGAAGTTTGTTTTGAATTCATTTCGGCAGTTTGAAAAAGCTCACCAAAGCAATCTTATGGGGTATTAGTTTTGTCTCCTAAACACCTTTGAACTTCCATTGCCGATTACTACCTATGATGATTATACAATCAGTGGGTGTGTTCTGGAACTCCAATGCCTTTGATGTGCAATATTCATTTATTAATTTATTATTCTTCTCTCCAAGATTAGTTTGTTAATTGGGGAAAAGTATTCAAAACAACAACACTAGCATCATGAATACACTGGAGAGTTGAGTAGGAGATTTGGTACCGATGTTTTCGTACCTATTCAATTTAAATGATTTTGAAAACTTGATGAAGGTCACACACTGGACAAGAAGCCCACCTTATTATGTCTTTTCTATGAGTTTTCACACACCGAAAGCACAATTTATTGTCTGTCAAAGCAATTAAAAAAAACTGTGTAAAGATATGATGTGCTACAGGGGTGCTTGTCATGGAGATGCCTGTTTACCGGATTTTTATAAAACTTTTCTTTTCTCTCAACCGCTTTAATTGTTGTGTTTAGGGGGTAGAGGCGAGCAGGGAGACACACTTACAGCCCTGCCAACAGTAGCTCAAGTGTGTTTGAAATCATTATAACATCACACTGGGATTTCAAACTGGATTGCAGAATAAAAAGAACTTAGTTTGAAATATACCAAGGCCTTCAGATGTAAAAAAAAAAAGTTAAAATAATTAGGTCAGTTCATTAACAACATGTAGTTTAATGCAAAGGATATAGTTTTCATCTTTTTTGTGTCTTCCTTCCCAAAGGTGTTGCTCCAGGTCAGCTGTACACATATCCAGCACGGCGCTGGAGAAAGAAGAGGAGAGCCCACCCTCCAGATGACCCTCGTCTGTCCTTCCCATCTCTAAAGACCGGTATGCAGACACTACACTTACTTCACTGATTGTTAGGAAGAGTAAAGAGAGGCTTTGTGTGATTGTGTTTATAAACACATGTTCTGAGTGTTTTGATGACATTTCTGTCCATCTCTGTGCAGTTGCCAATGGATGTGAATGTGCGTGTGTATGTTTCAGAGCTGGATCTGGGGATTAAGAAGGATGTTTTCTCCAGTGATGGTAGCAGCTTAGAGGCCCTTTTGAAAGGAGAGCCAGTGGATAAAAGATCTGGATTGGAGCTTCGCACGACAGAAGAGGAGCCCAGCTCTACTGAGTTCTCTACCGGGGGACTGAACTCTAGCAGCAGGGTCCGAAAGGTACTGACAACACTTATGTTGATTTGGATTGGAGGCGTTCTACTTCTTTTTTTAATATAGACATCACCTTCTTTTAATTTCTTTCTTTGTGTGTAGAGAATTTTGGAACCAGATGATTTTCTTGATGATCTAGATGATGAAGATTATGAGGAAGATACTCCAAAGAAACGTGGAAAAGGCAAAGGAAAGGTGAGATCTCATCAATTTTCCTTCTTGAACAGATAGGGGACTTAAGAGGATGTTTTGTCACAGCTGCCAAATGCCAGTGAATTTACTGGCCCAAATTTCTTAACAGCCTTGGTTTGCTGAAAAAAGCAAAACAAATGAAGCAAACATATATCATTTTAATTATTATGTGTGCCAGATAGAATCTGCAGACTTTATTGCTAATCCTGTGCTGAGTTTGTTGAAAACTCTGTGTAGTTATGCAGAATAATTTTAGCAGCTGAAAACATAAATAAAGCAAGAAGTATGAAAAACAGAATCTAGTATACACAAAATTACAAAAGTTGAATGATGTTTGAATATTTTCTGTGGATTTCTGTGGGCACAGTGTGGGCTTAATTTTTTTATATAATAATAATAATAATAATAATAATAATAATAATAATAATAATAATTATTATTATTATTATTATTATTATTATTATCATCAAGACATGACCAGGTTGAACATACGAGATATAGAATCGGACCCTCAAGATATTACAGAACGTTTTAATTCAGGAAATATTTTAGGTGAAATGTTTAAAAAGGTGCCTTTTAAAGCAATTTTAGGATATTTATCTTTAATCAAACTAAACGATTGTATACGACTCGTTTCAGAGTTGTTCCTATTTAAATGTTTCTTGTACAATGTATGTTAAGAAACTGATATGATTGTTTGTTATAAATTGTATATTTTGTATAGGTTTTGCCATGAATATAGCCAATGCTGCTGATATGTCATTAAAATATGAATAAATAATATTAATAATTATTATTATTATATACCACATTCTAGGGCATTGTTGAATTAATCGGAATAAAACTGGGCAACTGGTATTTTTTGTTTGGCAAGTGTTATTTTTAGGCCATGTTTACATGCATATTCTTCTCAATGAAACACTTCGAAAAGTTTAATTTATGATGAATGTTATGGTTTGACAGGGACGTGGTGTCAGCAGTGCTCGCAAGAAGTTGGAAGCAGCAGCTGCTTTGGAAGATCGGGACAGACCGTACGCTTGTGACAGTGAGTCATATACGGCATTTAAGGAAACCACATGACTCAGCCGCTGACCTCTCAGTGATCTCATCTGGAGACTTTTTTTTGCTATAAAAGGCTGAGCTATACTGTAATCTGTGTCACTTTTTTTCAGCATAGTTGTCATATTGAGCTTCAAAGCAAGAAAGCTTGCTTAATAATAGCAAAGATTACCATTTGCTCAGGTTGTCTTTAATTTGACATGCTGAACTTAAGAATTATTTCAAAATCAGCACTTTCTTGTTTATTTATAAAAGTCAGAAGTATAAAAACATGACAAATACAGATTTTTATTGAAAACACTTACAACAGCCTACTCTTTTATTCTGTACGTTTTGGTTTTACCAGAGGATGGTTTATATTTGATGTCTAATCCGTTTTAGGTTTTGTGTTGTTTTGTATTCTCTGCACTCGTCTCTACCCTTAAATGTGTCATGATACGGTGATGCAGGTGTTCTTTAAGTTTACTTCTCCTGATTCCTGTTGTCAGTCTGTGAGTCTTTCTGTCTCTTTTTCTCTCTTTTTCTTTCTCTCTTTCAGACACTTTCAAACAAAAGCATATTTCAAAATCTTCTGAAAGAGGTACATTGCTCTCTGTCTCTCACTATCTCTCGGTCTAGTCTTCCCTTGCCTCCTTCTCTTTGTCTTCTCCTTTCCCACCCGCCCATACCTTCATGTTTCTTCTTTATTTTGTATGCGTTGCAAATTTGATTTGTGCTTGACAAGAACTGAATTTGCATTTGAAATGAGGGGTTAATGATGGTAAAATATTTCTGCAAGGAGAATTGCCTGAACAGTGTTAAGTGTGACAGCAGCTTCAGGGGAAGACATTTGTTTCCACAGAATTCATTTTTCCCCCTTTCCCAAACAAGCTGTCTGCCTCCAGGCCATGCGAAATGTTTAGACACGTTCAAGCGGGTTGTTGGTGGCAGCATGAATCAATACAAACTCCCTGAGTTTGATTTTCATAATGAGCTGATTGAAAAGCACTTTTTTCTATTTTCAATGACTCTTTTACTAACAATTTACTCGTATGCATTTTAGATTCGCCATCTGTAGTTCAATGAAAAACTGCACTGCTGTACACCCATAAATATTTTCTAAAAGTCTGCAGTTTAACAGTACCAATATGAAATATTGTTACATTTTAAAGAAACTGATATCTGTTGTAATATAATTTTAAATGTAATTTGATTTGTTTAATTAAAACTTTTAAAGGTATTTTAAAACCAATTCTTTCCTTTGTACAAATAGTATGCAGTTCTATTTAAAACCTGTTTGAAATTTGGTCAAAAATCAAGTGTACAGGCGATTGAGTAATCATCAGAAAAGGTCTGAAGAGGAGAAATTACCTGTAGAAACCTAAATTGGCCATTTCTGCCATTTAAAAAGGCAAACAAACGAAGATACTTAGAAAAATAGCCCACTGTTCATTTGTAACCAAACATTGTTTAAACTACATATTGCTTTTCTATATCTTCCTGTATTATTCTCCTCTCTTTGTCCTTCATTACCTGCTTTATGTTGTTTATTTCTAGTTTGTAAGTTGATGCTTTTAAAATTCATACTTCTCTTCAGGTTTCTTTTTTTTATTATTTTTGTATTATAGAGCCTCTGCTTTTGAATTGCCAAAGTATTGGTCCACTCCCATTCCTGCAACTGTGTGATCCTCACTCTTTTAAAGGCATGGTTCACTCAAAAGTGAAAATGATGTCATCATGCACTCAACAAGCTGTTCCAACCAAAAGACTTTAGAGAAGGGGTGTTCAAACTTGGTCCTGGAGGGCTGAACACACCTGCCAGGAAGTTTCTATTATAGACCATTTCAATTGGGTCATGTGATTGGCCCATGAACATTTCCTGCTTGTTCTCAAACTATTTTATAACTGTAGCAAGAGGCAATTCAATCATAACTTCATGTTAAAACCGCTATAATAGCATTATCTATCAATATGTGTCTCTTTTTGGATTCTCGGAAGCTATAGTAAACAAAAAAAACACAAAACAGGAAATATATTGGGACCATTGTTTTTGTTAACATCCCTCAAAATGGTCTATATCTAGTAAGAGATTGATTAGCTGGTTCAGGTGTGTTTGATCAGGGTTGGAGCTAAACTCTCCAGGACACCGGCCCTCCAGGACCAGGTTTGGACACCTCTGCTTTAGAGAGTTAACCCTAAAGCTGCAGTCACACTGGACTTTTCTCCCCATAGACTTCCATTCATACGCACGCGAATGTGCATCATACGCATCGGAAACACAAGATTGTGTGTCAAGTTTCGCAGGTCGCAGCATTGTAAAGTTCAAGCTTGGTGAACTTAGACCTGAGAAATCGCATGACATTACTGTGTGAGACCAATCGAGGATCAAAACATGACCTCTCTGTACAGAAATTTTAAATATTGACCATATTCTCACTTTTTTAAACGTCTAATCATCTCGTTTAATCCTGCCCCTTTTCGCAGCGCCGTACGACAGAATTTTGCAAGCGTAAACTCGTGTGACCGCAGCTAGATTGAAGTTATCTAACAGAATTACCAAGCTACTCTTGTCCTTACAATGAAGCTGAATGTAGACCTCAGCCAGAATTTGGCACTATTTAATTCCACAGAATAAGGGGGGGGAATTGTTTCTAGTAAGGGTGTTGGAACAACACAGCTTGAGTCAATGACAGGATGTTCATTTTGTAGTGAACTATTTGTACTGTTTAAATGAAACCTCCTCATAAACATGTAAAAAAAGGGAATTCTAGAGGATCAGAAGTGAATGGATGGATTCACGACTTCTCAGTTTTCCAATGGCAAGCATGTGGGCATGAGAAATGAGTGCATGCATGAGAGGAGCGTTTGGTGTGAAGCTGACATGCCCCGTGCTCTTCGGTACAGAGGATGATTCAATGCATATGACCACTGCAGGCACTTATAATCTGTCGTTGTGCTCTGTGTATATGTGTGTAGTCTGTGGAAAGCGCTATAAGAACAGGCCTGGTCTCAGTTATCATTATGCCCACTCTCACTTGGCCGAGGAGGAAGGAGAAGAGAAAGACGAGATGGACATTCGGGAACCAACTCCACCCCGGCAGGACGAACCCAAGAGTAAGCCATTAATCACGCTTGTTGTTGCTGCTGCAAAGACACTTGTAGTCAAATAAAGAGGAGGATTTAAACTTAGTGTCGCTTTGAGTGGCATGAAATATCTTTACCCGATACACTGCCACTGATTGTCTGTAACTAGCTGGCATAGTGTTGTGTACTTAAGTATTGACAATATGGCTTTATTTCAAAGTGTAACTGCCTGCTGCCTTCTAAGGCAGCTTTCTAAATGAAAGCTAATATAGAGTTCACTACATTGAAGCAAGCTAGGTTCTAAAGAGATGTCTTGTGTGTGTTTTGAATTGTTGAATGGTATGGAATATGTTTTTAAGGTGTGTTGGCTGTTCTCTTTCTTTCGGTCAGCTCCTAAAAAAGGCCCAGATGGTCTGGCTCTTCCGAACAACTACTGTGATTTCTGTTTGGGAGATTCCAGCCTGAACCAGAAAACCGGCCAATCAGAGGAGCTTGTGTCCTGCTCAGACTGTGGCCGTTCTGGTATAAACAATACAACAAAAACCCCACACATTATTTAACCTGGTAGTTTTCTTTTGATCTTTCTAAGCATTAATTATTGACCTGCTTTCTGTTTTTAGGTCACCCTTCATGTCTTCAGTTCACTCCTATCATGATGGCTGCTGTGAAAACCTATCGCTGGCAGTGCATTGAGTGCAAGTGCTGTAATATTTGTGGAACATCAGAAAATGATGTGAGTCTGTTTTGCACTCAATTTGCATACAATTTGAATTACAGATATTATCACTAGAGCTGTGGTAAATTCGCTTGAGAAACCTAAATTCAAAGCATTTTGGACATTTTCAAAATGCTTTGCTATTCTCTCTTTAATGGGTTCCTAGCGGAGTTTTTTAACAGGAGATGGTGCTTCACTATCATTCATACTCTGCTTGCATCCATTTCCTTACAAATACCACTTGAACCTAAAATAATAGTTAATGCAATTAGGAAAGGTTTCAGCGAGTTAAGAGTCCATAGTGAGCTGTGTTCGTATTAATGTTGAGACATGAAAGCCAACTCCCTTAACTCGAACATGGCCGAACACAATCTCTCTTCCTCTTTAGCATTTCAGTGTAAGCCTAAAAACTAGCATAGAGAACCATCTTCTGGTTAAAACTAAGCTCAGGATTGATTCGAAAAAGAATCATTCATTCATTTTCTTTTTCGGCTTAGTCCCCTTATTAATTTGGGGTCGCCACAGCGGAATAAACCACCAGCTTATCCAGCATATGATTTACGCACAGGATGCCCTTCCAGCTGCAACCCATCTCTGGGAAACATCCATACACACTCATGCACTACGGACAATTTACCCTACCCAATTTACCTGTACCGCATGTCTTTAGACTGTGGGGGAAACCGGAGCACCCGGAGGAAAACCACGCGAACACAGTGAGAGCATGCAAAAATTCCACACAGAAACGCCAACTGACCCAGCCAAGGCTCGAACCAGCGACCTTCTTGCTGTGAAGCGACAGCACTACCTACTGTGCCACCGCCTCGCACAAAAGAGAATAGTGATGCATTTTTAAAGTCTCAGAACTGTTTTATTTTTTAGACAACACTATAATTATCACAATTAGTAACGAAATGTCAAAATCTCCTCAGGGAAAATAGTTCCCTTGTTTCATTAAACAACTTTTACCTGTTATATTATCAATGATGTAATCTTGTATGCTTTGCCACAGGATCAGCTGTTGTTCTGTGATGACTGTGATCGAGGTTACCACATGTACTGCCTCTCTCCCCCAATGTCTGTACCTCCTGAAGGTAAAACAACATTACGGTAGTAGTTCCATAAACAAAAGATATACTCACCGGCACTTTATTAGGTACACCTTACTAGTACCGTGTTGGACCTTTTTTTTAACTTCAGAACTGCCTTAATCCTCCATGGCATAGATTCAACAAGGTTCTGGAAATATTCCTCAGAGATTTTGGTCCACACTGACATGATAGCTTTACGCAGTTGCTGCAGATTTATCGGCTGCACATCCATGATGCGAATCTCCCGTTCCACCACATCCCAAAGGTGCTCTATTGGATTGAGATTTGGTGACTGTGGAGGCCATTTGAGTACAGTGAAGTCATTTGGTCATAGAGGGATGGACATGGTCAGCAACAATACTCAGGTAGGCTGAGGCATTAACAGGATGCTCAATTGGTACTAATGGGCCCAAAGCGTGCCAAAGAAATATCCCCTACACCATTACACCACCAGCAGCCTGAACCATCGATACAAGGCAGGATGGATTCATGCTTTTATGTTGTTCATGCCAAATTCTGACTCTACCATCTGAATGTCGCATCAGAATTTGAGACTTATCAGACCAGGCAATGTTTTTCCCAATCTTCTATTGTCCAATTTTGGTGAGCCAGTGCAAACTTTAGCCTCCAGTTCTTAGCTGACAGGAGTGGCACACAGTGTGGTCTTCTGCTGCTGTAGCCCATCTGCCTCAATTTTTGACATGTTGTGCATTCAGAGATGCTCTTTTGCATACTTCAGTTGTAACAAGTGGTTATTTGAGTTACGGTTGCCTTTCTATCAGCTGAAATCAGTCTGGCCATTCTTTTCTGAACTCTGGCATCAACAAGGCATTTGCACCCACAGAACTGCCGCTCACTGGATAGTTTCTCTTTTTCGGACCATTCTCTGTAAACCCTAGAGATGGTTGTGCGTGAAAATCCCAGTAGATCAGTAGTTTCTGAAATACTCAGACCATCCCATCTGGCCCCAACTACCATACCACGTTCAAAGTCACTTAAATCACCTTTCTTCCCCATTCTGATGCTCAGTTTGAACTTCAGCAGATTGTCTTGACCATGTCTACATGCCTTACTGTGTAATTGGCTGATTAGAAATTTGCGTTAACGAGCAGTTGGACAGGTGTACCTAATAAAGTGGCCGGTGAGTGTATATTTATTAAGCAAGCTAGGACTGAATAATAAAAAAATTAATAATAATTTGAGTTTTGCTATGCATCTCCATTTAGTGCAAAACATTCTAAGATATATCAATATTGTATGCTTTACAGGAAGTTGGAGTTGTCATCTGTGTTTGGCCCTCTTGAAAGAGAAAGCCTCCATATTCCAGAAGCAGAATGCACCGCCCCTGTGATGGTCCTCTCAGGAAGACAGACCCTCTTTCTCATAGTTCCTTCCAAGATTTGTTTGGTTTAAGCAAACAAAATGGGTCGAACTGAAGTTTTAATGGAAGAGAATAGGGACAAGCACCTCGCAGACACAAATGGAGGCAGAGAAAGAGAGAAGTGAGAAAAACGATGCCCTTCTTCTCTTATTGCTCTCTCTCACATCTCAGCAGGTTTGATCTCAGTATGACTGTTACACAGTTCCAAGTTTCAAACTTCCCTTGCTCTTTGTTTTCAACTATTATTCCTGACAAATAACATAATTCTTCCAAACTTCAAAACCCATCAGACACACTACTGAGCCTTTCAGTAGTATTTACATGGAGGAAGTCGCTATGAGAATATTATGACTCTTTTTGAGTTCCTGCTCATATTAGACCTGATATTTCCACTTGTTTATGCAAACACTGTTTAACAAAGCAAAAAAACAAAAAATAACAAAAACAAAAATAAACTCAGCTTATAACCGCCAAAATGAATAATGCATACTCTGCCATATCCAAAATACTCTGTACCGACACTGTGCTTATCACAAAGAGGAATAGTTGAAACCAATCAGCATGCCAATGCTTGTTCATAATAAGCAAAATAGCAAAAGAAAGATGTGTTTTTGTATATTTATATATTTGTATAGCATATAAAGGTGTGTTGTATTTAAGATCTTAAACAATAGAAATGGTTCATTATTATAACGGGAGTTGCTTGGGGAGTCTTTTTGTTTTTCCTAATAATTGCATCTGCTTATGCCACTGAAGCACAGAGTCTAGCAGCCAGTGTGTGAGCTCTTTACTAACTAACGGGTTTGTGGTGCAGGTAAGGGTAGTGGTTTTAAATTATATTTTATATTGTTTTTATTTTTGCAATTTTAGGGAACACTTAATGTGTTCAGAATTTGTTTAATGTTATGTCAAAGGTGGTTATTCAAGATATCAGGGAACGCAATGAGGAAGAGAAAGCTGAAATAGAAAAACATTACCCAGAAACTGTAATACACTTTAAAAGTTTTTTTGAGACGGTGAGACGGTTAGAATAATGTATAACAGACCAAACAGAGATCCCACAATTGGCAAAGAGATGTCAGAATTTGACGTTGAGTATCAAATTCTTGATAAATTCTATAAAATTGATTTCATTGTGGTTTAACTAAAAGAGTTATTTCCTTAAGCTGACATTTCTTTTGGCATATATTTGTATATTAATGTTTTAGCAAAACAAGCCAAAACAAAGTTGTCATCTTATACTCGCAAACCTGTAAGGAGATTTCATGAGAGCATTTTGACTTCCATTGAAGTTCTTAATATCTTGGGATTTCTACTAAAGTATATGTTACACATACAGTTGCCAACAATTGTAGTGAACCAAAGTTTTCACCAAAATTGTCCCCAAACAACACCAATTTATGTCTTAGGACATTTTTGATCAACTTTTTAAAATCAACTTGAAATGTTGACTGCTGTAGTTGTTACAAAATAAGAGTGAGTAAACGATGACAGATTTTGTGTAAGCTACCCTTTTATAAGGATTAAGTAATAGCAGAGGAGATCTTTGTGAACGAATTTAAGTGACCCAGTGCTAAACTCCGTACTAAGCAGATGAGCAAAATTTGCCGGAGCTTAGTTTGTCTTCCTAGAGCAAGCTGAGGCAGATATACAGCCTGCTTCAAATGCTCGCCTATTTCCCTGTCTTCTATTGCCATTTACCTTCACAATCCAGCCAAAACTTCCTTTGTTTAGAGAATAAATCTAGAGCAGTGCATGGAGCTGGCTCTTTCAGCCCTGTTCTTTGTAAATGTATACTGAATGAAGAAATGAATTGACCTGCGTTGGGTTCTGTGTACTCTGTAAGTCTTCAGTTTCAAAATAACCACAGACCTCCATAAAGGTTTAGACTTCTATCAGATACTGATACATTAATTATTGCTCATGGCATTCATAATATGTACAGGACCTTATCATTGTTTTATTTTTCATTCTCAGTTTAGTTACTGCATGTTTACCTTACATGGTCATTTATACATAATACATAACACATAACACTCACTCTTTTGTATTTTCACAGTAACAGCATAGTAGAGGATTATGGGAAATCTGATAACTTAGCGTTATGTTACAAGCCAACTAACTATTATTAAAATAATTAGCAGTTGTAACCATTTACCTGAATTGTTCCAAAATGACTAGCAAGTGGCCATTCTTTTTTATCTTTTCTTTATTTTCTTTTTTTTTTAAAGATTGTTTGTTAGGTTGTTTTGGGGGTTTATTCTTGTTTTGGTGTATGGTACACTTTTTTTTTTTCCCCCAAGAAAAATAAAAGTCACAAACCATGTATGACATTTTGGTACTGTTCATCACTGCTTGATCACTTGGGCACTATCAGAACATACAGAACATGTAGATTGTTTTTGAAAACCAGTCGGCACACCTCTATTTCATTTACTGTAATGAGTGTTCATATATTAAAGAGATATTGAGATTACAAATGTCCCATAGTCTTTTGACATATTAGCGGCCTTTGTACCATCAAAGGGTTAGTTCACCTAAAAATGAAAATTTTAAAATCCCAGAGACATTAGCTTCCTCATCCTCCATAGACAGCAAAACTCACCATATACCTTCAGAGTTTCAATCTGAATATTAGCAAATTATGAGAATAGTTTTGTGTGCACAAAACAAATCTTTATTCAAGTTTTTTTCTATCCAATGTTAGTATAGTGCACCTGTTCACTAGAGTGTTTTTTTTATTATTATTATTTTTTATTTGTGTCGCACTCAATTGTGCCTGATGTATTACCTCAGATGCGCATGTGCTTTGTTCTAAATGGAGAAGTCGTACATGGGCATCCGGGGGGTTTTGTTGATGCACAGTACTCATTAATGTGCGCAATATACTGACACTGAGAAAAAGAAACTGTTGAATAAAGTCTTTTTTTGTTTGTTTGTTTATTTTATGAATGTACAAAATCATTCTCATAGATTGATAGTATTTCAATTTACCCACTTTGTTACCTTTCTGGACCTTGAATGAGTCAGAAACCATGCTGTCTTTGGAGGTTGAGGGAGCTCTCAGATTTCACTTAAAATATCATAATTTGTTTTTCAAAGATGAATGATGGTCTCACGGGTTGAGTATTTAAAACATAATTTAATTTTTGGGTGAAATCATTTAAACCATCCTACAAGTTTCACAACCTAAAATGCAATCATCATTATAAACAAACTGTTTAGTTTGGATATTAGAGGATCAGTGATGTCATAAGGACAAACATTTACATGACATCCAGCGCAAGACATCAATTAACCATTATAAATTCATAAATATATCAAAAGGAAATAGAATCCAATCTAATCCATTAGAAACAGTATGCTCGTGAATACTCAATTTCTGGTGATTCTTTTTTAAATATTATTGTAACAATTAATTTTTATTTACCTAATTTTCTTTCTTTTTCTTTTTTTTTTTTTTGGTTGATGGTGTTATGTGGATTTCTGTGGTCAAAAAACTCATGCAGAAATAGTTTGATTCTATTTTCCATCCAGAACCATTATCCAGTCAAAACAATGGTCATGCACTGAGAAGACTTAAAGGTCCTCATAAAGTTGTAGAAACATGCAGCATTTACTAGTTGCGTCCCGCATGATGCACTATACAATTTTACAATTAGTCATGTAGTTTTAATGTCATCCCAAATGTAATTATAATGTTTTTTGCCAGCAGGAAATTCTAACTGTTTCCGTTTAAACTGTTTCCAGTTTAATGGTTGTCAAAATAAATGACCAAACTACCAAATAGTACCTGTTACATGACTTATGAGTACAATCATATTCACCATTGAGCATAATCACTTACATTGGACAACATTGTTTGCACTATCCAAAATAAAGAAATCCAACTTTATTGTCTGATAGCTTTAACCACTGAAGTTTCACGCTTGTTTTTATTAGTTGAATAGTGACATCGTCTGGGTATTTAAAGAGCACTTATCCTGTTTTTCAGAATTTCTAGTGCAAATGCACTGTCTACGCTATTTTTTTTTTCTACAAAACAGCATATAATAGTACATAGCTATGTGATTTGTAATGCACCTACTACTGTAAAATTAAGTGGCCAATAAGCATTTTGTTTGTCACTGCTCACCAGACTTACTGAGTTTGGAAAAGCCGCATTAGACAGCTTATGACCACCACTGGGACTCTATCTAACAGTTTTTTCCCTAACCACTTCAAGATAAAGCATTATGTGTAGGTTAAGTGGGAATGATCTCCTTTATGATCCCTCGGTCATGTCTCAGGATTGTGACACTATGCTCACACTATGTTTGTTCATGACACTTTTAATCTTTTTTTTTTTAATGAATAATCTTGAAATCAGCTGGAAATTTGCTAAGCCCCTTTTTGTTAAGGCTGCTTTAAACAGATTTCTATGCATTAATGCCATTTACAAAAAAGTTGTTCCTTCAAAATACCTTCAAAATCATATGATACGGTTTTCATTGACTGCTAAATTTTTATTTATTTAATCTTTACACAAGACAGATGACAATTACCAACCACGATCCCCCCCCCCCTTTAAGTTGAATGTAAACAGCAATTACAAATTTTCAAGTACCCAAGGAGCAATATACACAGCACTACTGTAACCTCCTCATATCTGGTATGATTTTAAACCAAGCGGTTTAACAAAATTAAAGTGTATTATGTAAAGGCATATGCATTTATTTACACAAATGTTGTAGTAAAAGTTAAGTCCAGGGTTTTTACGGGTCTTAAAAAGTCTTAAAATGTCATAAATTTTAAAGACAAAATTTAAGGCCAAGTCTTAAAGTCACTGAAATACTGTTTTGTAGGCCTTAAATCATTTTAAACAAGTGTTATTTTACATCTGTACATATCTCCAATTTTCAAAAATCCATCTAAAAAAAAAGCCTTTAATCAAACTCTAAATACTAATGTTTTTTTTTTTTTTTGAAAAAGAAGAAAAGGTATAAATGTGCTTGTACCAGAGAACTAGGTTTTGCTTGTTTTGACACATTATTAAGCACAGAAATAACTAATTAGATTTTATTTTGATAAGGCAAGTAAACCTCTTTCTACGTGACCAACCTAAAAAAAAATTCTTAGTGTTTAGCTCTGTATAAGACTGAAATTATGTTATATTATTTATAACAATCTTAAAAATGTCCTAAAAAGTCTTAAAATTGACTTGAAATCTGCAGAAACTGTAACTCCCATATGAAGTAACAGAAAATCAAGAAAATCATTGTTTATCCAAGTCAGATGAGGCTTTTCTATTTTTATAAACTTCTCCCTAGTAATCTGCTATTGGCTACAGCGACCCTGTAGAGCTGAAAAAATGCCAATGGCAAACTATGAGATTTTCAGCCTGAATTAGATTTAATAAGAACAGAAATAATACATATTACCTGTTATTTTAGAATGATGATTGAAAAAAATAAGTATCATTCCTCTCTATGGAAATGTTATACTGCAAGATTATGGCAATACTCAACAGCAATATTACATACTTTACCAGTATCATGCCACCCCACCAAAGACCTTCAGTTATGTTTTAACACTGTCAAAGCTGACCTTTGCAGGCAGACAGATCTCAAGGAACAGGATTGTAGAATGCCGAATGACTACACTGTACTACAAGGCGTATTCTGCCTCACAAACGCATGGCGATTCCAACTGTTTGTGTCCCACTTCCGTTTATCTCCACCTCGACAGAGTAGCAGAGACTTGAATGTGACCCTGAAAGATTCGTTGCAGAGGGCGTAGCACATGGGGTTCACTGTACTGTTCACATAGCAGAGCCAGTATCCCAGCTGCCAGAGCTTTTCAGGAACACAGTATGAAATGGAGGCCAAAACCATGATGTTGTAGGGCGTCCATGTGAGGATGAACGCCAACAAGATGGCACTTAGCGTCCGGGCTGCTTTCTTTTCTTTAATAATCAAAATAATTCGATGTTTAGCTCTGAGCTGTTGGCGAATGCTATGATCAGACTTTTTGGGTTTTAAATGGCACTGTTTAGTAAGACGCTCAGCAGGAGAGTTCTGCTCTTGCACACCCTTTGTATCGTCTGATCTGCAGTGTAGATCCTTCAACTTAATCGCAGAAGGATTAGATGAAGGTGCTTTTAACTTGTTGTTTGGCTCATGTTCTTCATCTGTGGATGAAGACAAGACACTGTCATCCACATCTTCAGTGTTCCAGCTACTGCTGCTGTAAGGCTCCTTGTAACTTTCGTGAGCTGCTGTTTTGTTTCTCAAAATCCAAGTGAAGCAACCAACTGACTTGCCTTGTCCCTTTTTGGATATTCCTTCCCTTGAAATACTTAATGTGCTCTTACTGCTGGTTTGGTGCATTGATTGTTTGTCAAACCCTTCCAGAATTTCTGTAGCGTTTTTCACAGATCCAACAAAACCAGCAAGCCCTTTCGCCCGATTCTCAATCTCCCAATATATTCGCCAGTATAAAATGATCATGATGCTGACGGGTAGGTAGAAAGCAGCAATCGCCGTGCCGTATGTTATAGGAGGTACCTTGAGAAATGGGATGGAACAGACATGAGCTTCAGCTCCAGATGGTCGTCCCATTACATGAGGCCAAAATAAGATTGCAGGCCCCCATAATATAAAAGATATCACCCATGCCAGAGCAATCAAGACAGCTGCCGTTTTTGGAGTTCGCTTCGTTCGATAAGTCAGCGGTCGTGTAACAGAAAAGTATCGGTCAAAGCTTATAACAAGCAGGTTCATTACCGATGCATTGCTTACTACATAGTCAAGTGTCAACCATAAATCACAAGCCAGAGGTCCTAACGTCCAGCGGCCCAAGATTACATATGCAGTATATAAGTTCATTGACACTGTACCCAAGATCAAGTCTGCAACCGCCAGACTCAGAAGATAGTAGTTACTGATGGTCCGGAGCTGACTGTTGACCCGGATGGATATGACCACCAGAGAGTTTCCCAGGATGGTGATGAGGGAAAGAGGTCCTGTCACTAGCACGATCAGAACCACCTCCCATTCATGATGTCCCCCTAGAGGGTCCATGGTGAGGTTTGTTGTCTGCGAAGTACAATTGGTGTTCATGTTCCCAGAGAACACACAACATCAGATTCATGAAGGGCCAAATACATTCTTCAGGAGAAGCAGAAAGTGTCTTCTGCATTACTCTCTGTGGACACCGGGGGCGCCCTGGGAATCTGTTATCAGGTAAGAAAAACAAGAATAATAGTAAATTTAATTACATTTTTTGGTCACACTTTACAATAAGGTTTCATTGGTTATTGTGTTTACTAAAATAAAAGATTTAACATCATTTTAAAATCAAAGTACAACATCGTATAATACTTTTTTTTTATCTGTTTAATACACTTACAGAAATTACAAAGTTTTTTTACAGAGAAATTTAAGCAACTACTATTCCCACCCCTACCCTCTAAACCAGGGGTGCCCAAATATTTTCTTATGAAGCACCAAAAAGCTAAATTTATTAAGGATAGTGAGTCAAAGGTAAATATAGTTGCCATGAATTTTCTAATTCATTTAATAATATTTAAAAAAAAAAAAAAAAAAAAAACATCATTGCTTTATATTAACTAATACAGTATAATTTTACATTTTATAATCCACTTACTACAGTAAAAACAACACCATTTCATTCTTTAACAGAATGAAGTTGCACTGGTTTTTGCTTTGATTTGCTCGCCGATGTCTTCTGCATCAGTCCTCTACTTGTTGAGTGACGACATTTCCATTTTAAAAAGTCAGATTCATTTACATGTATTTGAAACTTTTAATCTCAATTTGCTTTTTTTAAAATAATATACAAAAAAGGTATGTCAAATTAGAAATGATGATGCCCAACCCCTTTTTATCATTCTCAGATGGGATGGAGGGCCAAATCAAAGGTTACAATAGGCCAACTTTGGCCCACGGGCCCTATTTTTAGCATCCCTGCTCTCTACAAAATGAAATCACATTTATCCAAAAAGAGAAAATACAAAATTAATAATAAAAAATAATAAAACTGTACAGAATACACATGTACCTTGATAACCCAATATAATAAACATTAATCCTCAACTATATATATAATGTACTTAATTACATTTGCTTTACAATTGAAAGATCCTAAGGTTTAGATTAGCAGTCTGTAGAGATACTTGCATGCTAAACATTTAGTTATAGTTAATTAAAATTTGAACGTGCTTGTTAACCAAAATGCTTAGTTAACATGAACTTGCAAGGAAAAATTTATTTTCATATGAAGTAACATTAACAAACATGAATAAATATAATAATACATGTATAGTTCATTGTTTGTTCATGTTAGTAAATGCATTAAGTAACATTTCATGTGACATTTAAAGTGTTGCTGATTTTGATTGAGTTTTTTCTTATTAAAACTTTAATAAATTAAATTATGTTCTGAGGTTTGATAGCAGAGATGGCGTTGTAATTTATTTGGTTCAAACCTTTTCTTAGACATGCGTAGATAATACCCTATTTTACCATTTACTGCTGAAAGTTTTATGTTTTGCATTGCTTTAATTTTAATAATCATTCCTTCATTCATTTTCCTTCGGCTTAGTCTTTATTTCAGAGGTCGCCACAGCAAAATGAACCGCCAACTCTTCCAGCTTATATTCACTCTGGCCCAGCTGGGACTAAAATCAGCGACCTTCTTGCTGTGAGACCACATTGCTAATCACTGAGCCACCGTGACACCCTTATTTTAATATTAATAATTAAAATATGGAATAATTTGAACATTCACACACTCATATACACTACAGCTACTTTAGTTAATTCAATTCACCTATACCATATGTCTTTAGACTATGGGGGACACCAGAGCACCCTGAGGAAGTCCATGCGAACATGGGGAGAACATGCAAACTTCACACAGAAATGCCAACTGGACTCAAACGACCTTCTTGCTGTGAGGCCCCATTGCTAATGACTGAGCCACCATGCCACCCTAATTTTAATAATAACAATTAAAACAGGGAATAGTTTGAACAGTTATTGAGTTTAAGCAGATACATATATATATATATATATATATATATATACATATATATATATATATACATATATATATATATATATATATATATATATATATATATATATATATATATATATATATATATATATATGTATTTTTTTTCTTTTTTTATGCACAAATCTTAGAAAAACTTATGTTTAAATTTCAGTGTTTGATAAAACAAATGGGTTGATATATGGCTTATGAGATAGGATGTCTTTTAATATCTGTTTCGGAACATCGCTTGAATTAAGTTAATTTAGTAGTGTGCACTTGGAAAATAGTAAAACAAACTGTCACCTTTATCTGAGTGAGAATGTAAGGATCTTCAATCTTCAGTCAATTTCAGATTTTTTATAAAAAAACAAAATAAAAAAAGATATTTTAGTTTGAAGGAATACAAATTGACAAAAAAATAACATTTGCTAAGTATACTAACCCTTAATTGGTGGTCTTTTTTCTGAGGAATGAAAATGGTATTTTAAAGAAAGCTGTAAATCTGAAAACATTAACTTTCAGATAGTAGCACAAATCTAATCAAAAGGAACTTAGTGGTTGCCAGTTTCTTCAGAATAGTTTCATCTTTTGTGTTCAACAGATTAAAGAAACCCATAAAGGTTCGACACAAGTTAAGGGTGAGTAAATAATGACCAAATTTTCAGTTTTGTGTGATTTATTTGTTTAAGTGAGAATGTAAGAGTACTATATGTACAGCATATAATATAACCCTATGTTTTAATTTAAAAAAAAAAAGTTCTAGTTTAGATATATTGTGCAAAGATTGTGGTCTAGTTTGAGAGTTATTAGAATTTTTTGAAGTGTCTAGAGAGTTGTTTTAAATAACCATGTTCATTGACACTATGCAGAGACGGATTGTTGTCTGGTCTCTTAAATCAAAAGTGCAGTAATTAATTAGCTGTCATTGACTGTTTATAAAATGTTTATTATGCCTTCAAAAGCTTCAGGCTGTTTGATAGTGATTGATTTGGCAGGCTATATAAATTACAGCTTAAAATTAAATGTACAGAATTTACATAACAGAACATTTCCTATCCGTATCTTTAAGAATTCTCAGCATCCCAAATTGTAGACTAATACGTTGAATGGTCTTCCATTAGCTTTCCAATTGATGTAAGTATAGCAAACCTTCATAGTAGTAGTTAAAAATATATTTTAAAATGACACTTACCTTTTTGTAAAAAGCTGTTAAAAGTGTCTTTAGATTGTTCAGAGATCATAAGGTGCTGTTTTCTCAAGATGTCCACTATAGGATGAAGATGCATCAATACATGATGCCAGTTGGAATCTAATGCAAACAATGACCAATTAAAAAAGCTACAGTTCTTAGATATCTTTAAGATGTAAGTAATAGTAGAAAGAAAGAAAAAAAAAAAACTATGCCGCTGCTTCATCCACCTCATCTGGCTGAAGGTGGCAATGTGTCCTCCTCTTGCTGTGGGACCTGAGCTCCAGCGGCGGAAATGCGTGACTGTCATAATACGTGTAAATACTGAATGAGAGGCTGCCAACTGTTCATACTCAAAGCAGCTCTGATGAAGTGCAGACGCCTTTTTTGGTGTTTACCTCGAATGAGCTCTGGATGCATGATGAGAGGGCTCGCGCTCATTTATAAACAAGAATATGGTGTGTTACAACAATTGCAAAGCTCACCGTTTTCTCTCTCTCTATTTATAAATGAAACTTCATGTACAAATGACCTTGGTTTCATCTGAGTGTTGGGTTTAAAGGAACACGCCACTTTTTGTAAAGTTTTTAGAGTTGAGTTTTATCTGTTTTAAATCCATTCAGTTTATCTTCTGGCACTCTTAGCTTAGCTTAGCGTAAATTATTGAATTGGATTAGACCATTAGCATCTTGCATTAAAATATTTTTTTAAATCAGTTTTGATATTTTTTTCTGTTTAAAGCTTAACTCTTCAAATCAAATCAAATCACTTTTATTGACACATCAGTAGCAGCACGTGTGCTATGATGAGTAAAAAGCTTAGGTGCTGGCACCAGACAGTACAAAATACAGACAGTGCAAATAAAATGACAGTGCAAATACAACAACTGTGCAAAATACATACAGTATAAAATACAGATAGTGCAAATACAACGACAGTGCAAAATACAACAGTATACTCCCCCCCCCCCAAAAAAAAATAATGTTACGATTATGTTTATGTGTTATTACTTTAATTATTCAGCGCACCACAGTGTGAGAACCACTGATCTAGAATATTGAGCTTGAAAACAGCAACTTTTTATTTACCAATTGTCTTAGTACACGATGTTACTACTATTTAAAGTCAAGCTATAAACTGGATAAGCTAAGCTAAAAGTACTCCTGCCAGACCTGGAAATTACCTCAATGAATAATAAAAAAGGTAAAACTCAACTTTATCTATAGAGGGAGTTGTAAAATGAGCCTGTTTACAAAAATAGAGTGGAATGTTCTTTTAATGCATGTACACTGCAAGGTTTGCATTTAAAGGTATACAGTGCTTAGAATATGAGTACACCCTCACAAATCTCTCGTTTAAATTAATATTTCCATAGGATGCTTTACAATATTACATTTGTGCATATACATTAGGTTAGTCAGTACTGAAGCCTAATCTGGAGCTAATCCAAAAAAATAACGTGCAATAATGGTTCAAAAATGAGTAGGCCAAATTTATATGTTAGAAAAATATTAAATAACATTTTCAAAATAGCAAAAATCAAGAGATACAAAAATATATACAATTTTGTTGAAGTTTTGTAGTTTGTTATTTTTTTTGCAATATTTTGCATGAATTTAATTGTATTATCTTTCAATTTCTAAAGATATTCTGTGCCTAAAATATTATTTGAATAAACATATCTGTTTAATAAATCTGTTTTGTTCAAATGCACCACAATATATTACCTATATTCACTAAGAAATGGATACAAATATATATATATTTTTTATTCACTGGGGTGTGTTCAATTATGCTCAGCACTGTAGCTGCAGTCCACAGCTAATTTTAAAATCTTTTTACAGTTTGGAACAGTTTAATTCCAATAGATTCTCTCAGCTGTAAGCAGTATATGGCATTATGTTTATAGTGTAAGACATTTTGTGTTGTGAGTTTCTCATATAAATGTGTGCTCACTGTTATAATCATGACGTAAACTGATAATAAAGGTGAGAGGAAAGCAGTACATTAGGCCTGGTCATTGTAGACTTAGCAAACAGTGTATCTGCTTGTTTTATGTAAAGCAAATTTACTGTTCACAGTTCTCGCTTTCCCAAATTTTAATTTCCTCCATTATCATTTAATGCAACACCCTGATTGACCATTTGACTATATGTTCATATATGTGTGCGTGTTTGCTTTTATAGACTCATTATATAAACAAAACACCTCACAATCACATTTGGAGTGCTGCTGTAACAGAATCATCAGACATGAACAGCTTATTTATTGATTAGAGTAGGATTAGGTAAGACTTGCAATGTTTAAT